TTGGAAGGGACCTTGGAGGTCATCTAGTCCAACCCCCTGCTCAGGCAGGAAACCCTATAACATTTCAGACAAATTGCTGTCCAGTCTCTTCTTAAAAACTTCCAGTGTTGGAGCATTCACCGCTTCTGGAGGCAGGTTGTTCCACTGGTTAATTGTTCTAACTGTCAGGAAGTTTCTCCTTAGTTCTAGGTTGCTTCTCTCTTTGGTTAGTTTCCACCCGTTGCTTCTTGTCCTGCCTTCAGGCCCTTTGGAGAACAGCTTGACTCCCTCTTCTTTGGGGCAGCCCCTGAGATACTGGAAGACTGCTATCATGTCACCCCTCGTCCTTCTCTTCATTAAACTAGACATACCCAATTCCGTTTCTTATATGTTTTAGCCTCCAGTCCTCTACTCATCTTTGTTGCTTTGTTGTTTCTTTTAATCTCAGGAAACAATGAGTCTCCAGGCTTAAGAGAAAAAAAACACCCCACTCCGGATATAGCGTTGTGATAGGATGGGGAAAAGTTGGAGTGTGCCGGAGTGTGAATACAGACCGGTTAATCCAGGGGTAGGCAACCTTGGCTCTTTTATGACTCGTGGACTTCAACTCCCAGAATTCCTGAGCCAGCCTGGCTCAGCATGGAAACCTCTCCCTTTCCCCTCAGCATGGCTGGCTCAGGAATTCTGGGAGTTGAAGTCCACGAGTCATAAAAGAGCCAAGGTTGCCTACCCCTGGGTTAGTATCTCATTAAATTAGCTGTGTTAATTCAAGGCCTGATTTGGAAATGATGAGCCCGGAAAGCGATGCGGCTGTTTTAATGAATTGCCAACAAGTACTAGTCCCAGAGTGAACCACTATGTGTAGGGCAGACGTCATTACCACAATGGGCCCACTCCAAGTACAGGTAGTCCTCTATTTACGACCACATTGGAGTCCAAAATTTCCATTTCTGAGCAAGACAGCGGTTAAGTGAGTCTTGCTCCATTTTACGACCTTTTTGCCACAGTTGTTAAGTGAATTATACGGTTGTTAAAACGAATCTGGCTTCTCCCACTGTTGTAAGTCCCTTCTTCCGGTGCCGTTGTAACTTTGAACAGTCACTAAACGAAGGGTTGTAAATCGAGGACCGTGCTTTGGATCAGGGATAGCCAACGGTTTCCGGCCGTGCCGTTCCCCATAAAGACGGCGGTACAGTTCCTAGGGATGGTCCCGCACGGATCCGGTGAAGTAGTCAAGACTTGCTATATAAGAAAGATTTCAAAGCCCGGAGGACACAATGCTGTTTTCCATTTGAAAAAACGATTTCTTTTAATTTGGATATTGGTGTCGAGTACAAAAAATAATAATTAACCAAACGAACCCAAAAAAAAGTGCTTTTTTTTTTTTAAAGATTCCCCAGTCCCCAATTCCAGGAACAATATCCAGCTCCTTTCCTCTTTTTTCTCCCCAGCAGCTTGCCCTCCCACCCCAAACGACACTAACTTTTACACAAACAAGACAACATACAGTAGGTCAATGTTTCCCAACCTTGGCCACTTGAAGATGGGTGGACTTCAACTCCCAGAATTCTGGGAGTTGAAGTCCACCCATCTTCAAGTGGCCAAGGTTGGCAAAGATCAATTTGGATGCCTACATTTCACTACAAATTTATCGTGGCTTCTTTTGAATGGTCCTTTGCAGAATCTGCAGGTCTACACTTCCTAACATTACGGAACTGTTATTTAAACCAGGGTTATCTTCACAGGCACAGAAGAAGCCCCCGGTAACTCAAAAACCTCAAAACCTCAACCGGGAGAGTTCAAGAAATCCGATTTTCTTGAGACTTGCCCCAGTAGGGTCCCTCAAATCCTATTCCCAACCTATCCTCAGAGTAGCCCATCCAAGCCCTCTCCTTCCAGGGCGCATGGCATCCGTACAGGCGGTCCTCGACTTACGATGGCAATTGAGCCCAGCTTTTCCATTGCTAAGCTAGACCAGGGTTTTTCAACCAGTGGTATGGGTACCACGTGTGGTACATTGGCACCTGGCAGGTGGTACGTGACCATTTTGGAAATTTGGTAGCGGAGGAGGCGAATGAGCTGAACCGGTGGAAGCACCGCACAAGCCTGAGCGAGAGATGGATGGAGCTGCAGAGCTGTCAGGGCTCAGCGGAAGCGCCAGGATCAGCGCCAGGCTCCAGCTGGAGCTCGGCGCTGATCCTGGCGCTTCTGCTGAGCCCAGAAGAAGCACCGATCAGCTGAAATGTTGCAGCCCCTCCAGGGTCTTGTGATTTACATTCAGATGCTTGGCAACTGATTCATATTTATGACGGTCACAGTGTCCCAGGGTCATGTGAAGTGACCAAAACCTGCTGCAACCACCCAGCAGACGGAGGGAATAAAAACCAAACACCCCCCACCCCACCCCCGCTGCCAATCCTCAACAGAAATGCTCACAACCATGAAAACCTCGGACAGGAGGAAGAGCGCCGCCGGGTGGGCAGGCAGGTGTCTTGCTCGGTTGTGACTTGGGGGGCTTTTTTCAGTGCCATTGTAACTTTGAACAGTCACTAAGCGAACTGTTGTAAGTCGAGGACTACCTGTACTTTATCACCTTTTTCCTTTTTGGGGGGGGGGGGTCATCAAGTTTTTGACACCTTGCTAGGCGACTGGTGGTACTCGGATGTTGCCATATCCTAAAAGTGGTACAATGGGTGAAAAGGTTGGAAAGCCCTGAGCTAGACAGTTGTTAAGCGAGCTTGGCCCCGTTTTACGGCCTTTCTCGCCACACTTTAAGGGAATCCCTGCGCTTGTTAAGTTTGTCACACAGTCGTTAAGTGGATCTGGCTTCCAGGTTGACTTTGCACTGGCAGAAGGTCGGGAAAAGGGATCACGTGGCCCCGGGGTACTGCCACTGTCATAAGTATGAGTCAGTTGCCAAGGGTCTGAATTTGGATCACGTGTCCACGGGGATGTTGCAACGGTCGTAAGTGTGAAAAAGGATCATGCTGCAAGTCGCTTTTTACAATGCTGCAACTTTGAACGGCCACTAAACGAAGCGTTGTAAACCGAGGACCACCTGTATGGTCTCTGTATAAGATAAAGGATCACTAGCTTTTTTTTTTATCCCTTGCAGGGCGCAGAACATACTGGCGTGAGTGCAGAGGAAAAAGATAAAAGTGTTCTTCTGATAGGAGGCACGCCAGGATTGTTTTGGAGAACTGAGGCAGAAGCCCACCCAACAGTTCTCCTACGGGCGGTCCTCGACTTACGACAGTTCATTTAGTGACCCCCTTGAAGTTATGATGGCACTGGGGAACGAGGCGACCGTCGTTCACACTTACAACCATTACACGGTATTGTGATTAAAATTCAGACACGTGGCAACTCGGCTGCTAATTTAAGAACTCCAGTGATCCACTTAACCCCAGTGGCAAGTTGGAAGGGACCTTGGAGGTCATCTAGTCCAACCCCCTGCTCAGGCAGGAAACCCTATACAACATTTGTAAGTCGAGGGCTAGCAGTACCCCATTTCTTTACTCCCCAAACGGTCCTATCCGGATCCCTCAATTTATATATATATATATGTATATATGGTTCTCCTAATATACGGAACCATCATATGCTCAGGTGGACTGGATTTGCATTTCGCCCACCAAATAACCCAGGGGTCTTCAAACTGGGCCACTTTAAGACTTGTGGACTTCAACTCCCAGAATTCCTCAGCTGAGGAATTCTGGGAGTTGAAGTCCACAAGTCTTAAAGTGGCCCAGTTTGAAGACCCATGCAATAATCTAACCGAAGTTATCCCCCAAACAATCCTAGCCTCATTGGAAATTCAGCCTCCAGCATTTTGACTGATGGGGATTAATGTGTCTTGTGAACGCAGCTTTCCTTTCTCCCGTGGTCTACACCAGCCTTCCACGATTTGGGGGCAGAAATGTAATGCTTTTATTTAAAAGCCTCAGGGATCGACTCTGATGCGTCCAAGGTTAAACAGGCATCCTAGCCCTGATCTCCAGTCCTTCCCACGTTCTCCCCAAAGAGTGTGAAGCAGGAACATCAAGCCCACTTTTGTAGCTTGCTGACCCCACCCACCTGCCTCCCCTCTCTCTAATTATCCTCCTTGTTTTGACAAGGAGAGACCCTCTGATTTCCGGTTTTCCCCTCCCGTTTGTTACCGGTCGGCTTCTCTCCGTGAAATGGATGAATATTTATATATGTCTATAGAAATCACATTGTTCCAGGATCCCTCCAACGGTTTTAAGTTCCACCCCTACCCCATTTCCACCGCCACCCTCTCCCACCCTCATCCCCCCAATGCACCTGTTTCTCACAGAGTAGTAGCAACATTTAGCATTCCATGCTCCTCACTCTTCTCCTTCATCAGAAGCGCGTGTGAGCCTCGTGGTCCAGGTCCATCTCCTGCCAAAGTTTGCAAAGTGGCCCCTTTTTAAAACGACTTCGCGGCTCAGGTCCGATTTCCTCCAATGGGAGGAGAAAGAGGTCCATCCGGGAACTTTGCTCACCTGATTGCACTCGTCCATAGTAGCAAAGGCTGTTTTTTCGAACCCGGGGCTCAGTCGCTCTGCCCGTTGGGATCCACGCCTTGACCCGTCTGGGAAAGACATTTTTCTGCCCAGCTCAGAGATCGGAGATCAAACCTGAATTCTGGGCCATTGGCTTGGCCAACGTTGGGTGTCCTTCCAGCAGGACGTCATTGGGAGATTCTTCTCGCAAGCCAACATTTGGCCAGGGGGAAAATTTCACACCGCAGTTCGCCAAGGTGCACTTCCTTAGTCCCAAAGCTGGACTCTTGGCGGGCTGGGACTTCTCAACCAGAGAAGAGCTGGTCTCTACATAGACAATGAGGGGTTAAAAGATAGGAGGGGGAGATTGGGAGCGTTCCATACACCCCAAGGGAGACAGTCTGGGGTCAGTCCCGTTCTAATTTCCCCCGGCATGCGGCTGAGCTGGCCATGCGCAAAGTCTGTACGGGTCCAGGCAGAACGAAGAGCTCAGTAACGGTGCGCGTCAGGGGGTTAGGAGATACTTCCAAAAGAGGCTGGACAGGCAAGTGGAGTGGGGAGGGGGGACAGAGAGGTTAAGGTGGAAAAAGAAGAACAAAGGGAGTAAGTACAGAAGCGGCAGCGACAGACCAGGGCGTGCAAAAAAGACAACACAAGGGAATGGGGTTGTGTGGGCAATATTACGGAGATGGGACGTCGAGTGTCGGAAGCAAAACGAGGGGTCAGCCGGCGGGATTAGATATTCCTTCGGCCGGCCGTTCCCGCAGGAATGGGATACTCGGCCAAGGCCGTTACAGGAGCTCTCCAAGGTCCTGGCCCAGCCTTCCCAACCTGGAGGATTGCCTGATGAGTATCGACTTCAACTCCCAGGGTTCCCTGCAAGGGCGTGTGGCCTGGGGAATTCTGGGAATTGAAGTCCACTATCACGCATCTCCCCCTGATGATGCAAAGCTCCAGCCAGTGGGCTTTCTGAGTTGGGGGGTGGCCAAAGAACTTTGAAGAAGGAGATGGATGCTGAGGAAGTGGGGGACCAGCAGAAAGGTGGGGAGCAGACACCGAGGAGTGGGGGAACAGAAAGGAAAAAATGGGGAAGGGGGGGAAGGACAGAAGAAAGGAGAGACGGAGATGGAGCAGAGAAATAGAGAAGGCAGAAGAGTTAGAGAGAGAAAAGTGTAGGGCAGCTGCCCCAAACCTTTCAGTGGGGCTGGTTTTCCACAATTTTATAATTCATGAAGGATGAAGGGATTAGATGTGGTTTGTCTTTGGACAGGAGACCACAAGGAAATCCAAATCAGCTTGGACAGGAGACCACGAGGAAATTCCCAGTTTAGATTGGGGAAGTCAAAGACCCATCCTGGCCAACCACTTCTATGGTGCTGTTAGGAAAACTCGGTAACCTCATCAGAAGCCAAACTCAACTCAGAAACTTGATTGAGTCCAAAACATCTGGAGAACATCACGTTGGGGAAGATCCTCCTACAAGAATACCATTCTTTCTACTCTTTTGCCCTCTATAATGACCTTTTTAGTGAGTTACACATGGAGACCGTCCTACTTACCCATTACACAAGTCACCAACCTCCCATGAATTAAGTAGAATAAGCGGTGCCCGGCTGGATCAAATACCTGGTTCATCTAGCTCAGGGGTAGGCAACCTTGGCTTTTTTATGACTCGTGGACTTCAACTCCCAGAATTCCTGAGCCAGCCACGCTGAGGGAAAAGGGAGAGGTTTCCAAGCTGAGCCATGCTGGCTCAGGAATTCTGGGAGTTGAAGTCCACGAGTCATAAAAGAGCCAAGGTTGCCTACCCCTGGCCTAGTTCAACAGTCTGGTTTTCTAAATCAAATGTTTCTCAACCCTGACAAGTTGACAACTAGACTTTCTCCTAGAATTTCCCAGCCAGCAGTTCTAGGAACTGAAGTCCACACATCTTCAACTTGCCAAGGTTGAGAACATGCTGTTCTTACTGACCACCCAAGAAAGCCTCGTTTCCCAGCAGACGGCCTTCAGAGGAAGTCCCGCTGCCATCATGGCTAATAACCATGGCTTCCTAAGATCTGTAGGGATCCATGTTACTTGCTATAGGAAAATAAAATCTCTACTTCTTTTTCTCTCTCCTCCTTTTGAGAGGCAAATCACAGCAAATTTAACAGGCCCAAGGATATAAATGCCCATGGATGTCTGGGGTGGGGCACTGAGGCTATTAAACCTTGTGAACTCTCAAGCTTCCTTCTTCTGTTATGTATTCAAAATGGACAGTGATTAATATTTATATGTTACTTATATGTAAGTGTGTAGGTCTATAACAGGGGTGGGCAACCTTGGCTCTTTTATGACTCGTGGACTTCAACTCCCAGAATTCCTGAGCCAACATGGCTCAGCTTGGAAACCTTTCCCTTTTCCCTCAGCGTGGCTGGCTCAGGAATTCTGGGAGTTGAAGTCCACGAGTCATAAAAGAGCCAAGGTTGCCTACCCCTGGTCTGTGCATATGTTGTAAAAAGTATGTTTAAATGTGTGTTATGTACGGGTACACTTCGAGAGCAAGCAACTAAATTTCATTTTTAATGTGTGCCGTTCTGCCCACAGTAAAAAAATGACAATAAAGGTTATCTAAAAAATAAATAAATCTAAATAACGAGACAGAACTGTATAATCTACAGATTTGCATCCCAGGGACAAAAGGCTGGCATGGCCTTGTTGTATAACTGCACTGTTTTGGGGGTCTGTAGAACAGCAGGAATCCTGAACCCTGAAATCTAATGTCCACATCAACCAATTTTCAGAGTTTACATTAGGCAATGAAGCATAAACTAGCCAAAACGGTCGAGTGTAAGCTGTAAATGAAGATTTAAGGTCCACAGTTAACCAGGTTAATCACATGGCACGACGTGTGGGGCCAACAGGACTTTACCTGGTTTTGTGTGAATGGGTACTTGTGCCACAAAAAAATAAATCTAAAATAAACCAGGCAGGACAGGGGAGAGAAAGAACGCGGCTTGCAAAATCTGGGAAAAACGAGAAGCCACGATTGCAACGAATCAGGGCAGGGTTATTAGCTCCCTCTGTTGAATTTCCGCCTGATGCACAGGCAGAAGATAGCTATTCCATTCACTGCTTTTAGCACTGATCATTTGAAAGATGTGTCTACAGACAGACATCTACTTCCAGTTATCCTACCTTGGCTGAGAAGCTGTAGGTTGCGGACTTCCTCCCGCACCTGAAGCTGCAGCACCTGTTGGAGCACTTCCTGTCGCTGAGACTCCTGGATAATCCCCATGCGCTGCAGCTTCTCCCCGTTCAGCCGCAAGAGGGCCCGACCTGTCAAAAAGGAAGCAAAGGAATGGCTCTTCACACAACCTTTTTCGCCCCGCTCAAAGAAAGGTCTTGTGGTTTGGTGTAGTCGTGGATAAGGCTCTGGGTTCAAGACCTGCCTCAGGCATGAAAGCCGGCCGAATGACTTTGGGCCNTAATCCCCATGCGCTGCAGCTTCTCCCCGTTCAGCCGCAAGAGGGCCCGACCTGTCAAAAAGGAAGCAAAGGAATGGCTCTTCACACAACCTTTTTCGCCCCGCTCAAAGAAAGGTCTTGTGGTTTGGTGTAGTCGTGGATAAGGCTCTGGGTTCAAGACCTGCCTCAGGCATGAAAGCCGGCCGAATGACTTTGGGCCCATCCCCAGGTGAATTCATGTCCCGCCTCAGGCATAAAAGCCGGCTGGGTGACTTTGCGCCAATCCCCAGGCGACTTGGATTTATTTATTTTCATCCGTTTACATGAACACTTCTAAGCAACCTTTCAATATGTAGTTTGCTTGATTGCGGTTGACACTAATACGGCTATAGACATAACAGGGTACATTCGGTAGCAAAACGGAAACACACCAGACGGAAAGAAAATAAATGGATTATATCGGTGATCTGATGTCACTAAATAATTGGAGCACAGCACAATCATTCTCTATCTATCTATCTATCTATCTATCTATCTATCTATCTATCTATCTATCTATCTATCTATCTATCTATCTATCTATCTATCTATCTATCTATCTCTATCTCTATCTCTATCTCTCTATCTATCTATCTATCTATCTATCTATCTATCTATCTATCTCTACATCTATCTATCTTTCTATCTCTCTATTTCTCTATCTGTCTATCTATCTATCTATCATCTATCTATCTATCTATCTATCTATCTATCATCTATCTATCTATCTATCTATCTATCTATCTATCTATCTATCTATCTCTATCTAAATATCTATCTATCTATCTATCTATCTATATATCTATCTATCTCATCTCTCTCTCTCTCTCTCTCTCTCTCTCTATCTATCTATCTCATCTCTCTCTATATATCTCTCTCTCTATATATCTATCTCTATCTATCTCTATCTATATACATATCTATCTATATACAGTATACATATCTCTATCTATCTCTATCTCTATCTCTATATCCGTCCGTCCGTCCGTCCGTCCGTCCGTCCGTCCGTCCATCTATCTATCTATCTATCTATCTATCTATCTATCTATCTATCTATCTATCTATCTATCTATCTATCTATCTATCTATCTATCTATCTATCTATCTATCTATCTTTGTCTGGGTTCCAACAGTTAACTTACTGCCTTTCTCTCTTTCTCGTTTTTCTTCATCTCATTCTTTATAGCCCATTGCTCTTGAGAACTGCCCGCCACCACATTCAATAATGCAGGTCTATCCAGATGGATGAACCTCCAAAGGAATTCATTTCCGAAGGCAGAGTTTGCCAGTTTCCCCAGCTTTTAATCGCCCACCCAGCCTTGTTCTGTGGGGCCGCTTGGGCAGACGGAGGCAACCTTGCGTGCCTCTCCCCGAGAAAGGCATTGGAGTTTCCCATCATGCCTTGCTCCTCATAGCTAGGGGCCGTCGGCAGAGCGGCCTCATCACCTCTCCACTTCCTCTGGGTCCAATTCAAGAGGCTTGCTTTATTTCCAAGCGAAGGAACTGAAGGAGCGGTTCCATTAGTATTTTATTATTGTTGCCCTCAGGGCAATGAAGTGGTGAAGCTCTCGGTCTTTGTGAATGCAGGAAAAAAGTTAAAAGAAACAACAAAAAAAAAAGCCACACACACATACGCACATGTAACAAAGGCACATGCCTCATCCAAAGATAGCATTCAATTGATTTCTCATCTTCTGATATATATTCGTAGCTCAGGGTTGAACTGAGGGGGTCCTCGATGCTCTCAGAGCTTGGCTGTTTTCTTGCAGATGTTTCATTACCCAACATCATCAGTTCAAGAACGGAGTGGGGTTTGTAGAGTGGAGGAGAAGAGGAGGAGGAGAAGGAGGAGGAGTAGGAGGAGGAGAAGGAGGAAGAAGAGGAGGAGAGGAAGAGAACGGGAGGAATGGGAGGAGGAAGAGGAAGAGGAGAAGGAGGAAGAGGAGGAGGAGGAGAGGAAGAGGAGCAGGAGGAGAGGGGGAGGAATGGGAGGAGGAGGGGAGGAAGAGAAAGGGAGGAATGGGAGGAGGAAGAGGAGAGTAAGAGAAGGGGAGGAAAAGGAGAAGAAGGAAAGTAAGAAAAGGAATAGGAAGAGGAGAAGAAGAAGGAGAAGAAGGGAAGGAATAGGAAGAGGAGAAGAAGGAGAAGGGAAGGAAGAGGAGGAGGAGAGGAGAGGAATGGGAGGAGGAAGAGGAGGAGGAGAGGAAGAGAATGGGAGGAGGAGGAGGAGGAAGAGGAGGAGGAGGAAGAGGAGGAGGAGAGGGGGAGGAATGGGAGGAGGAGGAAGAGGAGAAGAAGAAGAGGAGGAGAGGAAGAGAAAGAGGAGGAGGAGGAGAGGGGGAGGAATGGGAGGAGGAGGAGGAAGAGGAGAAGGAGGAAGAAGAGGAGGAGAGGAAGAGAAAGAGGAGGAGGAGGAATGGGAGGAGGAGAAGGAAGAGGAGAAGGAGGAGGAAGAGAAGGGGAGGAATGGGTGGTGGAGGAGGATATAATAGTCATAAGTGTGAAAAATGATCCTAAGTCACTTTTTCAGTCACTAAAACTGTTGCAAGTTGAAGACTGCCTGTAATTGTAATTCTAACTGTAATCCAGGCCAGTATCCTAACTGAATGAATGAAAACCAACCGACCGATCAAAACAGGACGGGACAGTCAGAAAAAAACCAAACACACTGAGAGTAGAGAGTCCTCCTGATTGAGGAGGGCGAGACCTGTTGAGTGTCCATGGCTCGGCCCCCCTTCAGCGCGTCCTGACGGATGCCTACCTGTGATGGCGTGGTGTGAGAAGGCCTCCACGTAGATGAGATAATTGTGTGGGCAGTGCTTCTTCAGCCATTTGCACACATCCTGCTGGGTCCATAGCACCACCGGCTTGGTAAGGCTGCCCAAGGTAGGGCTGGTGTGGTAGATCCCGTACTGTTCATAAGTGCGGTTCTACAAGGATCCAGAAGGGAAGAAAAGAGCAGACAGCAGCATTATGGAGCATGGAATTTGCAGCGTTACAAAAGGGGAGTTTTGAAGAATTTTGCACCCGTGTTTATTCCTAAATAGGACATTGATGCACCAATGTTTATTCTTGAATAAAACTTTTTTTTTTTAAGTCAGCAAGTTATGAGTGCTCCTGCACCGGAGCTTTTGAAGAAGAGATCGGACAGCCACTTGTCTGAAATGGTATAGGGTCTCCTGCCTGAGCAGGGGGTTGGACTAGATGACCTCCGAGGTCCCTTCCACCTCTGTTATTCTGATATTCTATTATTATTCTGTTATTTCGTGACTCTTGTTATTCTGATGGGTTGCTTTCCCTTTGGAACCGTAACTCAATTCGTGCAACATAGCTAACCAGTAGCTGATAAAAACAGAGATTTAGAAAGTTGGAAATATGAGAAAATGTGGATTATGTGAGGAAGATTTATAACGGATTTGTAAATACTTTGATCGATACACAATTAATGTTAATGTGGG